AATGAGCTATTATGCTAATAGCCTGTTAGATATGCTAATTAGCTCCTGCAGCTCTTTTTCTACGAAATGACCCCTACTTAAATAATTAAGTCTTAATGAGGATGAAGTTGCCCAACTTTAAAGTCCAGTAGCTTCCAAAAAACTAGCTGAATCTCCCTGATGCAGTGGACCATAAATGGAAAAATTGCTATTTTATGTACCTCCCCAGTCTTCCTCTGATCTGTTAAGCTGGTACAGGCAAGGAGATAAATCTCATAACTACTGAAATCTGCAGGCCTGAGTTAAAGGAAACTTCATAATAAGAAAAGCACCACTTACAATTATTGCATCTTGACGGTTGCCCCTTTAAACAATACTCATTAACCCTCTCTGCTGATTTGCCAAACATGCTGTGCCCACAACCCAGACAAGATCAGGCATGGAATAATGGTGGCTAGTTTTTTCTTCAAGTGGCAGTCTTTGATCTCCCAAGGAGCAGAGTTCCCAAGGCCCTTGCAAGCTGTAGGGGGATGGGCTATTAGGGGTGCTTCCACTGGAAGGCTCAGTGGAAGCGGAATACTGAAAAGGCTCAATCTACACATGTCACTTTAGCTTATACGTGTTTTCAAAACGTTCCTATTTAAAGTCTGGGTATGTTGTGAACGATCTCCAAAGAAAGTCCACTTTCCTCATTTTCTAGAGTGAAGTGAGCCATTAATTTATTTTTTGGCAGCTATTTTTGGTCTCAGGTGTCACAATGGGTCTTTGTTATCCAGGGCCAGCTGGTTCCGTTTGGTCTGTTACTTTGATGTCACAGATTATGATGTAATAGATACAATCTACTATTTTAGGACAATGGAGAAACACTGTTTTTTTTCATTCCAAGACCTTAAAGAAACTAAATAAAAGAGAAAGTTTTATGTATTTATACTAACGACATTTGTGTGACACTTTTTTGGACCACGTCAGTTGAATGATTGGGGATGTCTAGAAATGGGAGGGAAGTACTCTCTGTCAAAGCTAATGAACTGGAATGCTATCCATAAGAAAAGACAACCTACAACATTTAGTGTTTATCCAAAATAAAAGCAACAGGGTACATTTCATCTAAACTAATATCATATAAATATCTGTGTACAGACAAGTTACATATGTTTGTTTATTTTAAAGATTTATACCCCAATCTCCAGATGTTGTCCTGGGATTTCAAGTAAGCAGTCCACAGTGTGTGTCAAGGGACAAAACAATAACAGTTAATGGTATGACTCAGCAGTTTACAGGAAAATGTGTCCTTTGTTCTGCTGGACATACATGTATCTGAGAGACACACATCAGAATTCATCTCGAATGGGCTAGTACATAATTTTGTCACATGCACTGCAACATTTCCCCTGTTGCAATGATAAAGACCTTCCTTACCTTGTATATCTGGAAGATACTTCTGGTATTGGTCCACTTCACTGCTAAAAATAGCAAAAGCTAGCCTCTTGAGGAGCATGGCTCGCTGTTCCAGTTCCACATCTCGATTTGCAAATAAGTTGAGTGAGCTGCTCTGAGCTACAGCTACACGGGCTAAAAGGAGAAATTATGCAATAATGAACATTCTTTTAGTGAAGAGAGGTTTGTTGATTAAGAGCATTATTTAGGCTACTTGATTCAAGTGGATTCTACCACTCCAATCAGCTAAGTAGAAGCTTTCCTCTGGTGCAAACAATCTTCCCCTCAAGGAAGACATGCTTCCTTTGGAGAAAGACTTCTCACGTGGGAGGAAGACTCAGCACTTAACTGAGCAGAGACATAGCATCTAGTCTGCTATAACTAAAATGAATTTGGTCAGTGGACAGATTCTATAGTCCCTGTATACATGTTAATATAGTTCTTTTAAAAAGTGGTACAGTAAATTCTTGCTGTGTGAGGCTAATTATTTTCACATCAGCAATAAATTTGGTTTCTCTACTTCCAGCAAGGCATTTTTGAAAAAACAAAGCAGACCTTTGAAATCAAAATGAATTCACTACATTTTCATTTCAAGTGGTTCCATGACCTGCAAAAGGGCTTTATTATGTCTATGCTCCCGCCCCCTCCCTCCTTCCTTATACCAGGGCAGGCAACCACCTCTATCAATTCTCTGCAGAGCTGAGTTATGCATTGGACCCTTATGCTAAAAGTAAATCTCCCAATAGGGGTGTGCAATTTTTTCCCCCTTGGTATTTTTCGGCTCGGGTCTACTGGACCCAAAAACATTCCAGGATACCCAAAAAAAAAAACCCGGATCCCAATACTTGTGAAGTATCTGGATCTGAGATTTTTCAGAAATACTGATTATTATTTTTTTGGTTCAATAGACCAAACTGAAAAATACCGAGGGGGGAAGCAGCAGCAGCAATACTACAAAAAACAACGGAGGTGGCTCAGCTGGGGCTCTTGTGGCAGTTCCTCTAAACCAGACTGCCTAAAAGAGCCTGCAAAGCAGCTAATCCCATGAAGACAACTCATCCCACCAGCTCAGCTGGGGCTCTTTAGGGTGATCCGGTTTAAACCAAACTGCCACAAAGAACCCGCAAAGTAGCTGATCCCATAAGGAGAACTCTTCCCGCCAGCTCAGCTGGGTCTATCTTGGGCAGTCCCATTTAAACTGGACTGCCCCAAAGAGCCTGCAAAGCAGCTGATCCTACGAGAGGAGAACACTTCCTGCTGGCTCAGCTGAGGCTCTCTTGGGAAGTCCGGTTTCAACTGAACTGCCCAAGAAAGCCGCAGGTGGGGAGAGTAGTCCCTTCTTCCCCAGCTCAGCTGTTTTGTGGGCTGTCTTCTGCAGTCCCTTTAAACACCCCTTGTTTAATGGGACTGTGGAAGAACACCCAAAAACAGCTGAGTGGCAGAAGCAATCTTTTCCAGACCCTCAGCTGGTTTTTTTTTTTGGTTTTTTTTTGGGGGGGGTGCCCATAATTTCGACAGTAATTCCCAAATATATATGGGATTTTTTTCAGAGTTTTTTTTTCGGTTTCTCCCAAAAACATCCCAGATACATTTGGGATGCCAAAATATACACAAAAAAAATACCAATAAGGTGTTTTTGGGGTATATTTTCAAATTGGGTAGATCCAAATGCACACCCCTAATCCCCAACTTTTGCAGTCCATTGGCTGAAACAACTGGAATCATTTTCAAAAGTGCATGTAACATTTTAAAATCTTACACACAAAGTAAAAAGTCAGCACTCACTCATCAAATCCCTAAATGTGGTTTTGTCGTGGGTCATCAAATTATCCATAATTGCTCTCCAACTAAAAGGGCGGAAAACATCATTGTCATAAGAAAAGCATGACATTTGTGCTGTCATTTACACTAAATTATTCATGAGCCGAGTCATCTTTAGATAGTAGCCTGAACTCAGAGAGAAGGAACCAAAGTTGCAAGTGGCAGGTACTAATGGGACACCTCTTAGCAATTGTGCCAGAAAAAGCAACTCCAGCATGTATGTTAGTACCCTTTAAGAACCAGGCTGCTGTTCCAGCAACCACAGACTGAAGAAACTGGAGGTGGAGCTTGGCCAGGCAAGGAAGAGAAAATATTACCTTGGCTCTGTCCCAGACAGTTGTCCTTTTTACGAGCCACCCTGATCTTGGACTTCGTGGGATGGATCCCATCTAAACTCTGGCATGGAATGTGACTTTCTTACCTCCCTTCTTCCACTGCAACCTGAAATGCCCCCCAAAGTGCTGCTCCTAGGAGATGAAGGACCTCCAGGAGCAGCCTGGGGGGGGGGGGGGCGAAGGTCTGCCATGGCAGGGGGATAACTGCTTCCCTTCCTGCACATGTGAATCTCTTCTGCAGGACCCAATCTAGAATTGTGCAACTACATCATCCAGGCTCCCAATGACTGCCTAGAAGATATGTGCATGCCAGATGGGGAAGGTTTAATAGGCTTTTAATGATTTCAAATTATATGTGTATGTTTCTTTAAATGGTTGGTAAGTGTCAGAAGAACAACGGGGGGTGAAAGAGGGAGGTGAGTGAGTGAGGTGACTGGTTGGCGACTGAGAGTGTGTGGGCGGAGCTAGGGGTATGTGTGTGGACAGAGAGAAGGTAGAGTGTTCAGTCTGAAGTTGAAAGTCTGAAGTCAGAGGTCAGCAGCTGTCAGTTGTGGTCAATCTACACAGAGTCTGAGAAGTAGTCTTCTAACTAGAATCATATAGAAATGCTGTGAGAGGCATTAAGATTCTAAATGAGGAAGAAAATATACTTAAGGGGGCATATTAGGAAAAATCTAATACAGTCAGAGTATTTTAAGAGTGTGAGGGGAAAAGCTGACAGAGACCCGAGTAAAAGGGAAAGATTCTACTAAGCAACTCAACAAAACATCTTGTAACTAATAGGCTTCTTTTACCAATAAAGTCCTAGCTTGTTTACTGTTGACCCAGAATCTTATCCTCAGAACCACATAGTCCAACGAAGGAGCCTTAGAGCTTGAGCAAAATACTGTGGGAAAGGTTAATTAAAGACTGGAATTCAATTCCTGGTGGCAGCGATAGATACTTTGAGTGAGAGAAAGAAACAACAAGAAATTTAAAACGACATAACACCTAACCACAGAAAATTAGAGAGAGGTACCGTCACACGTTTGGTAAGGAGATCAGGTGGTTGGCTATGAGAAGATGGGCTCATGAAGGGAAAGACTGCAGAGTGGTGGCTGAATCCAGAATTGGGGTGATGTTGCAACCAGATGGTGGGCTCAATCAGTGGCAGCATCATGTCATCTAAAAAGTCTAGGTTTTTAAACGAGATGTCATAGGTACAAATAGCAAGAAACCTTACTGATTAACACAGGAAGCATCCATCTGAAAGAAGCTGGGATCCATAAATAGGTCAAATGCTTCCTTTTTCCATGCTCTTCTCGTGTACTGATAGCCACTCAGACTGCTCAAGAGCTGAACGCAGGCTCGGTAACTGGGCGCATTATGGGCACTGAGAAATGGAAACCAACCAAATGTGAAATGATTTAAAATAATGAAACTTTAAAATTCTTGCTAAAACCCCCCAAAAGGCAGCAAGCACACCAGGTTCCAATCAACTCCACATTATTCTGGCCACGTGTGGAACACAGAAAGGACACTGGGCTTTTCCATCCCCTGTTGACTTCTGCGGGAAGTGAAAACCACCAGCCTTTCTTCCGTGTGTATACAATAGCACTGTTCCCTCACACCCAAGATCCTTTGAACCCAGGCATCTACTCTTAGAACACCTCTAATAGCTAAGGCATTAGGGGAAGCATTTAAATTCTATCTTGTATGTCATGTACCACATTCATTCAAGCACCTCAGGAAAAATATATGTGAGGCGCAGCATGGGATGAATATTTCTTTTTACAAGGAAGGTTATGTTAGTTACTAAAGAAGAAGAAGAAGAAGAAGAAGAGATTGGATTTATACCCCGCCCTTCACTTGGAGTCTCAGAGCGGCTTACAAACTCCTTTCCCTTCCCCTCCCCCTCCCCACAACAGACACCCTGAGAGGTGGGTGGGGCTGAGAGAACTCTGACACAAACTGCTCTTTTTCAAGGACAGCTGTGCCAGAGCTTGTGACTGACCCAGGGTCACATCAGCAGGTGCAAGTGGAGGAGTGGGGAATCAAACCCGGTCCTCCTAGATTAGAGTCCGCACACTTAACCACTACACCAAACTGGCTCTTATCCCTTATCCCAGTCAACCAACAGGTAAACAGCAGAGCACGTGTTCTTCCCCCCTCTCCTAAAAACTACTTCAGAGTATTGAATTTTATTACAGTGCTGTACAATAATACTTCATTTATACCTTCCATGTCTCCCCAACAGGGACTCAAAATGGCTGACATTGTTTTCCTCTCTTCCATTTTATCCACATAGGATCCCTGTAAGGTAGGTTAGGCCAAGAATGTGTGACTGGCCCAAGGTCACTCAAGCAAGCTTCCATGGCAGAGCTGGGATTTGAACCTGGGTGTCCCAGATCTTAGTCCAACACTCTTAACAATAACTTCAAAAGCAGCACTATATTCGATCTTCCGCGTTATAAATGGAAATAAAATGTCCTGGTTTCTTTACAAACTGATTGAGCAATCTATTGTAAGTGCATTAAGCTTTATTCCAAGTATGAAATAAAGAGGGTACCTGTGATTACGAAGGTAAGGCACAACATAATGCATTATATTTACAAGGAGCGGAATAACTCTTTCCTTTTCATCACTGTAGAAAACCATATCCAAAAGATGTGCCAAAACCTGAAAAAGAATTTTTAAAAACACCACACAAATTAAAGAGGCAACAGCCTAGGAGCGTTATTTAAAAGGACTTTAAAATATTTTAAAGGATCTTACTTAAAAAGAGATTGCCCAGATCTCACCTATGCTGACTTGAATAATGTTTAATTTCTAACTTAGCAGGCTCTTTCAAATATCCACCTCTTACTTAAACAGAAGGACTGTTTTAATTTGACAAAGTCTAGGTATAGGACAGATGGTGAGGATGATTCCACTTATTGTCCTGTCAATGCTAGTCAACAATAGTTATATACCTACTGAAATCATGGTATTAGCACTGATCTCCATTGAAGGTGCTGCTCCAGTGAAGTTGACTTCAACATTTCTGTTCCACTAACGATTTTGCCTTCCCTCCAATTAGCTAGTGGGAGGCTCTACCATTAGCAGAATGGAAACATTGGATCCTCCCCATAATCTTTATTTGTAGTTCAAGACTGAACCCACAAATGTGAAAAGCTTATAACTCAAATTCCAGAGACTATCTACTGCCCTTCAAAGTATTATTATTTATTCAATTTCTGAATCACCCAATCCCTGCCCCCACAACACTTAGCTCCCAGATTTCCACCTCACATCTTGTCAGAGACATGCTCGCAATCTGTCCGAAGGGCTAATGTTACAAGCCATACCAAGAAGAGAAAAAGCAAAATCCAACAAGCAAAGTATAAACTTCAGCAATGAGTGTATGACTACATAGGTTAGTGCATGGCTCCTTAGCAGGAGGTGATTCTGCTATCAAAACACTTAAGTAAAATAGGTATCTTTCATTTTTCTGTCCTGTGTATCCTTACATAATATAGAGAATTGTGTTCAAAAGCTGCTTAAAGGAATGTTTACCTCAGAAAGCAATGTTAGGGCATGAACACTATATACTGATGGAGTTATACTTGAGGTTTCCATAGCCGGATACAACATATCTAAATAAAAATAAAATTAAAAAAATGAAGAGGAAAAATCTATCCAGAACTTGCATACTTTGTGACAATATCTGTTATGCCATATTTTAGAAACTGCACATTTAAGAATTTGCAATATATCAAATAAGCCAGCACTGGAATGCATTCTCAAGATCAAATCCTATCACATTTATCCAGACACCTGTCATGTTTAGTCAATAGAGAAATTTGCCTAATCAATCCCACCCATTCCATTTTTCATGTTCTTTCTCCAATGAGTGGTAGTTCGTCTTTCCTCCAATTAATCCTCACAACAACCCTGTGAAGTGGATTAGGCTGAGTGTGTGAATGACTTTGCCCAGTGTCACCCAGAGAGATTTGTGGCAGAGGGGAGATTTGAACCTGGGTTTCCCCAATCCATGATGCTACATATAGAAGCACGACAGGATTTGTATTTGACTATATAATGTATTACCCCACTGAGTGCTAAGCTCAAGTAAAAAACAACTCTAAGATGTGCAATGATTTTACTGACAAGGTATGCTTATAGCTCAGTTAGAACATTCACAAAACCTTTATTGTGTTATCTACTGCCATAGCAGTAGCATACACAAAAACAGTGTGCAGACAACACACTTACTGTTGAGCAGCTGGAGAAGGGCCTGGCCGTGGCTGCGGCGGCAACAAAGCCTGGAAGCTACCAGCAAGATCAGCCATGATGGCAGAGCACAGGAGCTGCTCTGAGCATGGCACCAGTGGGGGGGGGGGGAGTCTGGGAACTGCTCTGGGCCCGGCCATGGACGCAGTAGATCATGGGAACTGCTCCTAGCCCAGCTGCGGCAGGAATGGAGCCTGTGAGCCACTCCAGGCCCACCAGCAGCATAGCGCGGCAGCCACTCCAAGCCCGGTCACAGTGGCAGCAGAGCCAGGCAGCCCCTCCTGGCTCAGAGCAGCTTGCAGGTGCCACTGCTGCTGTGGCTGGGCGCCAAAGGAGTTGCACCAGACAGCAATTGGGGGGGGGTAGTGAGATTCCCCCCCACACACAATGAGTTTCACCGGCCCCCCCACTTGTAATGATTATAAAACCAATCAGGAATGTCAGAAAAACATATTTTGTACATAGCGGCTCTAGCCTCAACACTGTCCATGTTGAACAGCAATTTTAGAATTTTAAGACATCCTGCTAATCTGCTGCTTGATGGGGAAGGAGAACTTCAGCTTTTTAGAGCTTACTCAGGTATGGAGTATAGACCAGAAAGTAAGTAAGAAACTATCTGTAAATAACACATATGCATCAGGGAGAAAGACTGTAATCTAGTCTTCTCTCTCCTGTGCTAGAATTCTATATGCAGGGAGGATTCAAAAAGGTCATCTTTCACCTGGAGTCTGAAGAGGCACACGCCTATCTACTACCTTATTCCACTTGCAGGATCACACCTCAATGAAACTTTGCACCAGATACTGAATCAGGGAAAGAAATCAACTATGCAGGACCCATTTGACAGCTCATCTAGTTAGGGATCTGCACTCAAAACAGTAGTTTTAGTTGGATTGTGGAACTGAAGTTAAGTAAGAGGATTGCTACTGCACAGCAAGAAATCAACAAAAATAATTTTTAATTCTGGATGGAGAGGGAGATCACCTTCAACATCAGACTCCAAATTGTTTCCATCAACCATTATCTTGGGGGAAGGCTTAACTTCTAAATTTCGTCTTAGCCATGTTGTCTGTTCCAAGGATGAGCCAGCAATTGCCCCAATGGCATCTACTATCTTGTGGGTTACATCCTAATGGAGGAAAAACAGCAGAAACCATGGAAAGATTCTTGCATATAAGAGAAGGAGAAATTAGTTTTCTTGCAACATTTCCTGAAAAAATCTCTACAAGGAAAGTTAATAATGTCAACAAGGGCACTGAATGGACTACTGCAAAGGGCTCAACTGATGGTATTCAGAATCCTTACCAAATGGATACAGTAAATCTATCGCTGAAAAGACCTGACTCCTAGCTAGTTTTTCCACTGGTAGAAGACACTTGTTAACAAAACAGAGTGTGTGTTATTTTTTTTACGACCCCCACTTCCTGTTTTGCCCTCCATGCTTTTCCCAGTGGGATACACTTTTAGGAAGCCTAGCAGGCTATGGAATGTATATGTGGGTGTCAGAAAGTTCACCTGCACGAATACCACTCCACTGTGCTAAACTGGATCCATGCCACAAACACTAAAAAGGTGCAAAGATTAAAAGTATCAGAAACCATCTGGAGTTAATTTATTTTTATTTGCTTTCAATTTGCATCCCGCCTTACCAGTATGAACTGGCTCAAGGTGGCTAACAATGATACCTATACACTTGAAGAATTTGTTTTCAAAATTAAGATAAAGTCCCGCTGGGAAATAATTGCCTTTTTATTTCTTGATTAGTAAAATGCAGGCTGACCTGAAAGCTGGTTGTACAAATGGGCACACATATCACACAGTTTGTTATCTTTTCTCAAACTCTACTGCTAGGGGAAAGAATACAGACAGAGAGTGCTACTTGTACAAGTCCATCTGAGTAAGACATTCAGTCCACATGTAATGCATTTACAGGGCAAATGGGAGAGAGGTACTCTCACTGCAAGAGACAGCTACACTTTGGAAGCTATAGATTTAAAGAGTATTCCTGGAGCAGTTCAATTAGGGAGCACTGCTCCAGGAGGTGGAGGACAGAGGGTCAAAGAATGGGGCCTGTAGGTTCAGTCACGGGAAAGTAAAACAACAACAGCAACAACACTTGTCTGTTCTCTTTCCCAGAAGTGTTATTTTGATCCCTTGAAAACCTGATCAACCAAGTTACTTTTACAAACATGTGTGGCATGAATTATCACACATGACGAGAAATTTAACCAGTAACTGATATGTCTGCTATTGAGATAATCCTGGTAAAAAGAAATACAGAGTAACTCAGCACAGTACATCATGACAACTAACCAACAAATGAATCAGGTACATGGGTCACATATTATGCATGCCGGAAGATACAGAAACGGCAAAAAGAGAAGAAGCCACAGTGTGCTCTCCCCTGAGAGGTCTCTGAAGTTAGGGAGGTTAAATGAATGGATAAATGAAGTACTTATATGAATGTGACTGTATTTGGACACACAAGTTTCACAGGAGACACTACTTATGGTGCTTGCAAAAGACACAACTGTATAGTGTTTGCGTGTCTATATATCTATATGTATAGATCTCTCTCTCTCCCTCCCCCACACTATCACTTCCCAATGTTTTCCCTACCAAATCTCACCCCAGTTTTCTATGTGGCTGATTTGCAGTGATTTTGGGATCTTTTATCACCATTGCAGTGTAATCCTTTCAGGTGGGAAGCACTAAAATGTCACCTGGGTTAAGGTTTGACTTGTGATGCTCTCGGTGATGGTGTGTACCCCAATACCTCTTTCAAAATCCAAGTATCTGCTATGGAATTTCTGCAGCTATAGGGGAGTCCCTTTACAGGTTTCAAGGTCAAATGAGGTGAAATTTAAAAGCAGTTTGTTTGTGAAGTTACAGGGGTGAAAGAAGGGGAGGAATTTCTTCCCTTGACTAGTTCAATACAACATGTAGCGCACAGCCACTACTTTCAATGGGAAAAAGTTTTTCAGCCTTTGCTAATTAAAGCTCGTTGTGACGGCACTTAGTCCCTCTCTGAGGGGCTGTTCCCTAGGGCACTCAAGGAGGCAGTGGTATGCCCTCTCCTAAAAAAAACATCCCTGGATCTGGCCGAACTAGCTAATTATCGGCTGGTTTCCAATTTGCCATATTTGGGCAAAATAATGGAGAGGGCAGTGGCAGTTCAGTTGCAGGGTTTCTTGGATGACACCTCCGCATTAGATCCCTTCCAGTCTGGCTCCCGACCAGGCCATGGGTCAGAGACAGCACTGGTCGCCCTCACGGACAACCTTCAGAGGCATCTGGATCGAGGCGGTTCGGTGGTGTTGCTGCTGTTGGACCTGTTGGTGGTGTTTGACACCGTCGACCACCAACTACTGATCCACCACCTCGCTGACACTAGGATTCAGGGGTTTGCCTTGCAGTGGCTCTCCTCATTTCTTCAGGGTTGGGGACAAAGGGTGGCCATGGGGGAACAGCTGTCCTGAAGGCGCCCACTAGTTTGTGGAGTGCCCCAAGGAGCAGTGCTTTTCCTGATGTTATTTAACTACGTGTGCCCCCTTGCCCAGATTGTCCAGAGGCATGGGCTAGGATGTCACCAATATGCGGATGACACCTAGCCCTATCTGTTGTTGGGTGGCCAGTCTGACTCTAGTCTGGAAGATCTGGACCTGGTGTTGCAAGCTGTGGCTGGTTGACTTAGATTGAGTCGACTGAAATTGAATCTGATGAAGACAGGGGTTCTGTGCCTAAGTCGGAATGGCCCGAGGGCAGGGATCCCACTCCTGACCTTCGATGGGGTGCTGTTGCCGCCAGCGCTGGAGGTTAGGAGTTTGGGAGTGCTCGTGGATCCCTCCTTAACAATGGAGGCCCAGGTAGCAGCCATTGCGAAGTCAGCCATTTATCATCTTCGGCTGATTAGGCAGCTGGTTCCCTTCCTTGAATGCAATGACCTGGCAACAGTGATCCATGCAATGGTCACCTTAAGACTGGATTACTGTAATGCCCTCTACATGGGGCTGCCCTTTGTCCCAAATCTGGAAGCTGCAGCTGGTGCAGAATGCAGTGGCCAGACTGCTGCTGGGTTTCCCCATGCGGGAGCACATCCAGTCTGCGTTAAAAGCACTGTACTGGCTGCCCATAGCATACCAAAAAGGTGCTGGTTCTTACCTTTAAAGCCCTTTATGGTCAGGGGCCTACATACCTAAGGGGCCGCCTTTCCCCAGAGAGCACTACAATTGGGGTCCTAAAATTGTTTGGCCCTTCCAGGCCCCAGAGAAGCCAGGCTGGCTGTGATGAGGGCCAGGGCCTTCTCAGTGGTGGCTCCATATCAGGCCCCTGCGAGACCTTTTACAGTTCTGCAGGGCCTGCAAGACGGAACTCTTGCACCAGGCCTTCGATTAGTGAGCCTCACAATATGCCAATAAAGGTCTGTGTAGGTGTATGTTTGTAGTGAGCCCTGGCCCCAATATTAACATCATCATTAACAGCCTGTACCCACCGATATGACCCAGACTATGATGTTAGATGAGTGTATGATTTGTCAGATGTTGCCAATTCCCACCATCGCTTTACGATTCATACTACCACTTTATGTAATGTTTTTACCTCTTATTTATTGTGAGTTTATTCAACTTCCTGTTTTATCTGTTTAACTATCTTTGTGTAAGCTGCCCTGAGCCTGCCCTGGTGGGGAGGATGGGATATAAATTAAATAAATAAATAAAATAAGGTAAAAAAGGAGGTGAAACTGACAACCCTATTGTCAGTTCTACTTACTTCCCTCCACAAAACAGAAGCCGTAATGGTGAAGGAGCTCTGGGGAGAAAAGGGGTGAGGAAGCAAGGCTCTAGTTAAAGGGAGAGTCTATTTTCCCCTCCTTGGAACAGCAGCAGTGGTGGGCTAAGGAGAGAGGGATGGATGAAGATCTTCCTCCTCCATAAATAGCTGTCTTTACTGAAATACTGCCTAACTTACAATGAACAGACCAGTGCTAGGATAGCATTAACCCCCCCACCCCAATTTCTCTTAGACCACAGAGCCTGTGTGTAAGAGTTGCCGTAACAGAAACAACAACACTAATAAAACATGACAGTCAGGTTCGTGCTTTAATCTTTTAAAAGGTAGAGTAACACAAGTAACTGAAAATACAATTTCTTACCTGAAGATCTCTTTGGTCCTTCTTATTATCCAAAGTGGGGTTTTTCATGATAAATTCATTTAAAACACTTTAAAAAAAGGAAACGTTTATATAAAATGTTGCATAAATAAGGGAGAGCAAGGCAAAAAGGGAAAACAATAGCAAAGGTTTAAAAGAGGCTCAGAACATGCCTAAGAGTATGCATGCCAGAATTTGTCTAATTCCCTGATTTGACTGAAGCTTCTCATGTTCTGTTGGAGGCCACTCTATAGGGTTAGCCCAACTTTGGAGTGGTTTTGGGGACATCTCCACAAAGCTCCCATGTATATTCAGAAGGCCCATATCCAATTTTTGGATTCTGAAATCAGTTTGAAATACCATGGCTCATCTCTCCTTATACATAATCTTGTTTTGGGGTGGCAAGATTCCATGCACTCCCTCAGCCATTGGCCCATCAGCTGCCACTCAAGAGTACTCGTGTGCCATTGGCCGGGTGCTGGGTCTGCTCCTCTTCCCTGCCCACTCCCCTTTCAGCCACTCTGCCCTGTCAGAATTACTTGCATATGGCTTTCTCTCTTGACGAAGACGCTTCTCCTGCTTACCTCCTGTGTGGGACTTAACTTTTCCCTCAGTGGCTGTTGGTAGGTGTAACGAAATGGCAGTTACCTGTGTTTGTAAGCTGGCTACCGTCTGTGTGGTTGTTTGTTTAATATGTTCGCCCATAAGGTTTAATTGAGCTGTAGTTCCAGAGAGGAGCTTGCAGGGGTATTACTCACTGGGTTGAATGGGGCTTCCTCATCTGCTGGCCTACAGTTCCCAGCTGCCCCAAGGCCAAAAAGTGCAGAAAAAGAGAGACTGTCCCAAGGGGCAGGGCAGCATCAATACAGACTCCAGCCACTCCAGGGAGGAGGCAGTCTTCCTTCTATAGGAGATTAGGAAACGCTCCTGCTGCCTGTGCTGACGAGGCTGTCCAGGCCACAAGCCACAGATGTGGGGGAATCCTGGGAGGCAGCAGAGATTCAACCACTCCACAGTCGGCTGGACTGCGAAATGAATGGAAGTTTCCCTGCATTCTTGGGCTTGGCCTGAAGCAGAGCCAGAGACCGGTCCAAGGAGAGATCCTATCCTGAGTCCACAACCTCCAGAGGTGGAGAGTATAGAGAATTCAGGGCTATTTTTGGGCAGGAACGCACAGGAACGGAGTTCCGGCTGGCTCCCAAGTTGGCCACGCCCAGCAGGAACTCATTAGCATAACAGGCCACACCCAAC